GAGCTAGCTGCCGGAGCATCTGCTCTGTCCCCACTCCCCACGGCCCAACCCCAATCTGGTCTCAAAGCAACCATCACCCCGCACTAAAAGAAATCCTTCTAATTACTTCAGAACTCTGGCTGTGCTCTAGAATGATCTGAGGAGCTCTGTTTAAAAATTAAAAAACCCTATGATCTTATTCCCATCCCAGGCCAATAAAATTGGCACCTCTATGGGAGAGACCCTGACCCTGGCATTTTTATCAAACTCCCAGATGATTCCAACCAGCAGCCAGTGCCGAGCCCTGACGCCCTCGCAGCCCTCAGCTCAGCTCTGCTCCAGCCTTTGCCTCCCTGACGATAGCACTCACCATTCTCTACTCCAAGATGCTGAGTGTGCAGGAAGGAAACAAACTGTGGCCAGGAGGGCAGAAGGAAGAAGCTCCTTTCTTCCAGACACAACAAACATACATAACACTCTGCTTTATACAAAGATGTCCTTGCCAACTCTATTGTAAAGGAGGTGAAAACCGGAAAGAATCTCCACGTCCAGTGATAGAAGCAGTTACATTTCGGTGTGGCCGTAGGACAGTATGGCAGACAGCCTTAACGATAAGGATTTGCTAATGATTTGAGATAATGACCATAATAAAATGTCAAGTGGAAAAAGTCACAACAAAAACAATCAGCTAGATGTTATGACATTTATGTCTTAAATTTTTTTTAAAGAAGACTAGGCTGGGTACAGTGGCTCATGCCTGTAATCCCAGCACTTTGGGAGGTCAAGGTGGATGGATCATTTGAGGCCAGGAGTTCGAGACCAGCCTGGCCCACACAGTGAAACCCCATCTCTACTAAAAATACAAAAATTAGCAGAGTGTTTTGGTGCATGCTTGTAATCCCAGCTACTTGGAGGCTGAGGTGGGAGGATCACTTGAACCCAGAGCCTGGGTGACAGAGCAAGACTGTCTCAAAAAAAATTTAAAAAGACTGGAAGGCAGTGGCTACCTCAGCTGCCATCTGCGCTGCTCCAGAGCCTAGCCAAGGAGGCTACAGCCACAGCCAGGAGCCCAAAACCTGTATCTTGGGCCCACTGGCAGTTGCAGGAGGCAGATAAAGAAGGGTCCCCGGAGAACCTCCATCCGCCCCACAAGTGTTTACAGCAGATATTTTTGGGCAGATGAGGAAACCTGCACAGGGTCTTGCCTGGGTACACCCGTAACAGACTGGAGACCCATATGCACTGGGGGAATGGGATGGAGCCACCTGGAATTCGCGTCTATGCAGGGGGAGGAGCCTGGCCTCTTCAGCTCACGTGTGGTGGCCTGGTATTCAATCTGTGAGGTGGGGACCTGTTGGGAGGACCCCCTTTTTTTGGCTGAGAGTGTTCTTTTAATGAATTCTGTTCTCCTCACCTTTCCATGTGTCCGCGTGCCTAATATTTCCTGATCATGAGACAAGAACCCGGATTTTAGCTGAGCTAAAAAGCAAAAAATCCCGCATCACCACCACACCTTCCTAAGGTGCCCAAGGATGCACTGAGGTGCAGGTGGTGTCAACTGGCCCTGGGCCGAGAGTGTCAGGGAGGGGCTCATCACCCAAGCCCCTTGCCCAGTGCCCCAGAGGAAATGGATCAACTGGCCAAAGAGGAGCCTGCTGTTAGCACTGTTATCTAGTATTTTCGTGTCATCTTTGGAGGCGCATACCTGTACAAATATTTTGCACTTCAACAAGATGACATATACTACTGTGGAATAAAGTAGATCAAATATGTCATCTTGAGTGAGCCCTCTGAAGACGCCCTAGCTGCTTGCCACCCATCAACTGAGAAAAATATTTCTTTAATATATTTTTAAAATATTCTTTAAAAATATTTCTTAAATAAATCTATTAAGATCTTGGAGGAAGATGAGATTGAATTCATCACTGTGGATTTGCAGGCAGTGATCCTGCCAGCATTGCTCATGGCCTGAACAAGAAGCTCACAGCCTGTTCAGTTCTTAGCCTGGACAAGTGCTGGGCGGGCCCTGGGAAGACTTCGATTGCTATGCTGCCCGGATACTGACTGCAGCTGCTTATTAACATCAAGGCTGTTTTGTCCCAATCCTATCTGATTCATGGACACATGGCTATCACCGATGCACTGAAA